TCCTGCATTTTAACGTGCTTTTTGCTTGTCACTGCACATTGTTGCTATCCTGATAAAACGCCCCGTGGAGAGATATTTCTGCCTGTGGTTTTTGTGCCTGTGCTAGAAACAAGAAGTGCTAGGGTGAGAGCTGGGAGGAGGAGAGGAGGGCACAAGGACTGTACTGACACATCCCACCACCGCTTGCTCACAGCAGAAAAATCCTTTCACTTGCCAGGAGCTATCATTAGACAAGGCGGCACTGGATTTTTTTTGACCCTGAAAATGAACTTTAGGAGGATTTTCCTAGTCAAGTGCTTGCTGGTTTTATTTCCCGGTGTAAAATGTGAGTTTTTCTTACTGTTTGGGTTTTTTTTGCTCTTTCGGGCTAGCGTTGTTAAAATTGCATTTTAAACCATTTACAACTTGGTGGGATTTTACTAATAAGAAACTAGTTCCCCTTTCCCAATGAGTGAAGACTTTTTGGGTTATTGCTATTACTATTTGATTTAATTTTCAGCCGCGGGGAGGGCAGCACCTGAGTTTCCTATTCCAGTTATAATAATAAGCTGTAAACAGTTTTGGTTTTAAGTTAATGAGTCTTAATTTGACACACGTATAATGAGAAGTGTCAGCATGCAGTTTTCTCTCTGCCCTCAAGGTAGCTTGTACTACATTAGAGATCCAGTTCACGGTGCCTTATCGCATGTAATTTCCTTTTCTTATCAAAGATGAGTAAATCTTTTGAAAGTGCAAATGATATTCTTCCATAAATATTAACTGAGAGTGATATATCTCGCTGTCTTCAGTGGAGCTGAAGAAGTCTAAGATGTGAAACCAGCAAGCAAATACAGGCATCTTTTATATTTTGAGTATTATTGCTCTCATTATTTTAAAAAATATTAATCTAAAAATTTAATTAAGGTGTTAACTCATAGGTTAGAGAAGGTTATAAGGGATGGAGACAATACAATCATGCATAGATTTTTTTTTTCTCTGTTCATTCCACTACAGATTATATGTATGGCTGTTTAATGCTTTTCTTTTCCTCCAGAACAAAATTAATAGATAAATAAGGATTTTTTTTTTTTACGTGATATTTAAAACATCTTCCCCAGCAGAAATGAAGTTTAGTCCCTTGAATGGAAAACTTGTTTCATAAGACTTCCTTGCTTCTCAAAAGGAAAAGTTCCCGAAGTAACTTTAAACTCTTTCTTGTGACGGCAAGTGAGCCCTACTCATTACTCTCTTACCAGCTGTGTGTGTGACTGAGCAGAAACAAGCAGCAGAATTCAAATATTTGGGTAGAATCTGTAGTGTCACCTGTGTGGAGGATAGCTGCTTGCAAGACTGGCTAATAGCTTGATTTCAGAATATTTCAGTAGATATGGCAAATACCTTGCAAGAAACACAACCATGAACTAACAGCCTCTCCTTAGACTGGGGGTGAATTGCTGGAAGCGCTTCAGTATTTGTTTTCTTGTTGCAGAGGCACGCTATTTTAGTTCTTTGATTCTCTTTAATATTACTAGTTTCATGAAATAGCAACTGGATTTCAGGTTCTCCTCTGTGTTGTAGTTTATCATTGTCCTAGATACCAGGAATGAAGGACTATAATAGAAATATGCATAAACACAGTTTTTCTCTCTGTGGGGGAAAAAGTGCCTAAAAATATAAAATTAGAGCAGAATCAGCTCTATCTGGAAGAGAAATCCCCTCCTGCCGATCGGCTTTATCCTGTGAATTGAAGAGGAATGAATGTAAGGCAATGACAAATGAAGTAAGCGTGGCTCCGAGCGCACACCTGGTTATCAGTGAGCTTATCCCACCGGACCCTTGCCAGCACTTTTGTACCTGCTCCTGCAAATTTTCCACCGGCCATGGGGGTGGGAGGCAGCACCTTACTTGAAGTGACCTCCCGACAAACTTTGCACTCCAAAATCCTGGTTCACTGGAGATGGGGCTTGCAAAGGCTGGGAAACGGGGTGGAGGGGAGAGGGCGGGCTGCCCAGGCACAGCCTGAAGAGTGCCTCGTCTCCACTGGTAGTAACACGATTGATGTTTAGCAGCCTTGGCTTTCCTAAATATCCCCGTCAGCAGCCACACGCTAAGTACTGCCCGGTCCTGGAGGCACCTTTGGGAAGCGCCTACTCTTGCCTGTTCTGGAGAGGGGACCTGTCATCAAAGGAGACCTGCAAAGATAAAAGAATTTCTTGGCCTTTGCTTATCTCCTACTGTCTCCAGTGCCTGATCAATTCACAGGATGTTGTTAGCTGTTTGTTTCTCCGCACTTTACTTGCCCCACCGTGATCCTGTGCTAGAAAAATCCAGTGGATCTATTCCAGTGGGGCAGAGTGCCCAGGATGGATGAGGAGGAGGGGGCACTGGAAGCTGGCAGTGCCCAGAAGCCAGTTCAGTGCCTTAATGCTCACTCGCTGCTTGATATGGACCACTATTTATTATTATTGTTGTTGTTGTTATTATTATTATTATTATTTATTATTATTATTGCCATCACTGTTATTGCTAAACTGATCCTACTGTCCAGGGCCACTACTAGTTTGTGTTCTTGCTGTCTGCAGTGATGGGCGCTCCGAGTACCAGCCTGTGCCACATGCAAAACATGCTGAAGTGACCTTATTTTCAGGAAGGTTTAAGTTCACGGGCAGCCATGAATCTTGGCATCCACAACCGCTCCAAATAAGTCAGCCAGAGTATAAAGCCAGCTTTTGAAAGCTGGACTCTTAGCTTCCTCGCCTCCCAGAATTAAATTGGGTGCTGACATTCACCTAATGAACGATCAAGAGGTGCTTTGGAGCAGGGGAAGAAAACAGCATCGAGTAACAAAGAGAGGCACCTCAGAGGGGGTAGCGAGTGACAACCTTTTGGGTCACCCCGAGCGCGGCAGCGGGGGCTGCTGAGACCACTGACGAGCCGGTTGTGCTTCCCTTTGCAGGCTCCGTCACCAAGCGGATTTACATGGCAGTGAACGAGTCGGCTCTTCTCAGCGTCACCGGTGCTGGGGGCATATATGATGCAACATGGCAGAGAGACCAAAAAAGGTTGCTTCAGATAAAAGATAACATAGTTAAGTACTATGTGACCAGGGACCAGTGCAGGTGTACGGTATTCCTAAATGGGACTCTGCAAATAGAGCGGGTGGTGAAAGAGGACAGTGGGAAGTACACGGTGACTGTTTATCATCCTGATGGAAAATTGAAGGTAGAAGAAGATACAATGTTCATCGTTCAGGGTGAGTTTTTGCTCTTCCCATGCCATTCCCAGCACAGCTGGGAATTCTCGGTATTCTTGCTCTCTCCTACAGCCTTTCCTACTTGTTGCCCCCCTTTCTGTTTTGGTGGGGGGACAGGATTTCTGTGAGATGTACCTCTCTCCTCCCACCGCTGACAGCAGTCTGCTGCTCTTCTCCCTTCTCTCGCCCCTGTTGATGCCCGCTGGTCGCCTGCTTCTTTCTGGCTCCCCTCTCTGTCAGCCACCAGGTTTCTACGTGTGCCCAAGCAAGCAGCCGTGAGCGTGTCCGTGTTGGCCGCCGGGCGGGTGCAGACAGACGTACTGCAGCACCGCACGTGGTGCCGGGACCTCTCGGGTCCTGAGCTGGGGCTGTGCTTCCGGCAGCACCCTGCTTCCCAGAAACCTCCTGTTGGGAGCACAGCAACCTATGCCAGGTATGCCTGTGGCTGAGCCACTATGCACTTCTGGCACTTCTGCTGCTGATCTAGTTAGTGGTGTCCCTGCTCACTCCAGGGGGGTTGGACTAGATGATCTCTAGGGGTCCCTTCCAACCCAAAACATTCGATGATTCTATGATTTTATAGGCACTGAGTTACAACTTTTGGCCTCTGGCTACTGCTTCAGCAAGGTGAGCACCTTGTGTTGCATCTGCCAACCTCCTGAGGAGAGCTCAGTAGCTCAGGTGGCACTGAATGCCTGTATTTAGGCAATGTGATCCTTCTCCATTTTTGCTCTAACATAAAAAATAGCCAGCAGTCACCTCCTCTGAGATAGAGACACCACAATAGGAATTGAATTTACAGGGGAAGAGGGCTCCTGCACCCTATCCTTGCATAGCGTAACACAACAAATAGGAAGATTGTGCTGTTCAAAGCTCGTTTAAGCACATGCCTGGAGATTTCAGCTGTCTGGGTTCAAAGCATGAAGGCAGCCTCCATTCCTGTGCTGCACCTTGTCCTGAGACATCAGAGTGGTAGCAGCCCAAAGCTTTACGGATGAGCAGGGAAGAAGGGGGTAGCTCTTCTGCTCCTTTATGGCTGCCACTGCCTCTCCAGACCACTAAGCTGTCAGGCAGCATGTTATTTTTCCCAGCAAGAAGACAATTTTGCTGTGCCCTTCTTCAGCCAGCATGCACATCTCTGCCAGCCTCTTGAGTTCGTGGGCACCAGCTGGCACTACAGAATTGATGCCTTGGTGAGGCAACAGCAGCAGCAAAGGCAGCTGGAATGTTTTCTGTGCCGTGGGAGGCCTCGTGGCTAACAGGCTGCTGAGAAGACAGGGTGTCTCACTACCTTGGGAATTATTATTTCAAGCCGTCTTCAGATTCAGGAAGTCATCGGGGCCTGATGCTGCTTGTTTGTGCTTTAAGGCACCGAGCCGTCATTGGGGTGTCCTGGGTTCCATTTCAGGTTAAGGTTGCAACCTAGCTATGTGCTGCATCATTTCATCTACTGTGCAGCAGAGGGGTGGCCTTACCTCTGATGGTGCTTTTGGAAGTAAAGTCCTTCAGTAACCGCTGGGTGCTAGTGTCATTTGTCAGCCAGATTATACTTTGTTACTAGGCTTGGAGAAATAGTTTTTTCCAAAAAACCCCAATAGTTTAGATGATCTCATCACACAACTCTATCACCAGGACCTAGACTCTAGTATTTCACACTGGGGGGTTCCCCTGAGTGAGAGGTTACAGCTTGCTGAAGTGGAGTGGGCTTAACGAGGGACAGGGTGGCTGCAGGTGTCACAGGGTGAACCTAGGCTGCATTTGCCACAAGCCACCCTTACTGGCTTTAATATTTGTGCTCTCCATAAATTACGCTGCCTCTTAACCAGAGGTGGCTCTGACATGTTTTTGTTTACCTGGTCTAAAAAGTAGAAATTAAATTCTTTTCCATCTCATGTCCCTGCCAGTTGCCCCTAGTTGAAGAAAGCCCTGCAGGCTTTTCTGGCTCTTTCAGTGCCACTGGTGACAGAGAATCTGGAACAAAAATGTAGTCAGCTGTTTGCAGGACACAGGAAGAGACAGAAATAATTTCTCTCTCAATTTCATTGAGAGCTAAGAGGTGTTTCATTTGCGTTTTCTATTCTGTTTTGATGGGTTTTCATGCTGTGGCTGTCATGCTAGCTGAGTGCCTTTGGTAGTATGTAAACATCATAAGTAGCTGTTTGCCCTGGCTTAGAGGAAATCTCTCCTGATGGCCACAGGCAGACCAGAGCCAACTTCATTTGCACCAAAACACTGGGGCTGGAGTTGGAGGGAGCTGTGGCTCTGAGTCCCTCCCATCTGCCACCACCCCAAAAAGCACAGCTTCCTCCCCTTGCCTGCCTGCCTGGCTGTGAGCTAGGCTGAGCCCGAAAGTCATCCAGCCATGGTGGTGCAGCTCTGCTTTGCTAGGCCAACTACGTAGGCTCATATACTGCATTGCCTTTATTATTGCCATGTTGCTTCTGTAGTAGAGGGCTAACCTGCGCTTCATTCTTTTCTCGTCTCATTAGCTGGTGTAACTCCCTTACTGCTTACTGGGGGCTAATACTCTGTTTTGCCTTATAACGGAGGTTTTCAAAAGGAGAAACCATCTTGGACACGCCTGTCCCCTTCTCTTCTTTTTCAGAGCCTGTCCCTGTGCCAGTCATCAGTGCTGAATGCATTAATAAAACTGTCTCTGTCAAGTGTCAAGTGCAGCAGAAGAGTAAAGACGAAACATTTATAATAGAACTGACTTACGACAAAGGCAAAAAAACCCAAAAGAATGCAACAAAGTTGGAATTGCAAACACGGTATTCTGGGACGTTCAGATGCACTGTTAGGAACGAAGTCAGCAAAAAAACGGCTGAAAAAGTAATTAAGTGCTCAGGTAAAAAAAATCTATCTTTGCCAGAATCTGCTAGGGCGGACCCGCAAAGCCTGATGCAGTTGCACGTATTTGCGGGACTGGTCCAGGTGCCAGGACCATCAATGGTTCCTGGTATTCCAAGTCTGATGCTGCCGCAGTTACTGGGAGTCGATGCTGCTGCGGTAGCCGGGATGGGAGTCGCACTTTCTGCTTGGCATTCCCCAGCCTTGTCCCATCCCCGCCCTCCACACCCTGCTGCTGCCTGCCCCACTGCTACCCTTATGGCATCCCTGCTCTTAACAGCAGGGAGGCCAAGCTAGTGGCAGTGGGATGTGAGGTGGGCTGTGCTGCTCCTCTTCTTCTACGGCCCATGCTCAGTGAAGCCTGGGGGTCGCTGGAAGAGGGGGAGAGTTTTTTCTGGGGTCAAGAACCTTGTGGGTAGCAGAGAGGCCCCTGGGGCACATTGTAATGCTGCTTTCACTGCAGGTGAAGTCTCCTGGGGGAAACTTCAGCCTGGCAGCAAGATCAGACTGGCTGAGGGGTGAATGAAGGAGAGAGATATTCTTGCTCATCCCGTCGTTTTCTCCCTCCCCTCCATTGCTGCTGACTCTTCTTCCAAAAGTTGCTAGAGGTATCCTGACAGACTTTTTGGTGTCAGCATCCTGACAGACTCAAGTGGTGTCAACCATCACTAGTGGCAGACCGGTAAAGTAAAGGAGAAAGCAGGGAGATGGGTCTGAAAGTGTTTTAATGGCACACAGCAGTCTGCAAAAGGTAGAAAGGACTTTCCTCCTAATTTTTATCCTCCTTTATTCCTTTAAAGCTTATGGTACTTCCCAAAGGTTGACTTCAGTCAACCAGTCCAAAGCCAAAGAGTTGACTTCAGTAAGATAGTATAAAACTACCCAAGCTACCACAACATAAATGAACAGCTTATTTTTGGAAAATATGGCTTGGGATCTTCTCCCATGTATATGAAGCCATGGCATTGATTTTGGGGGATTTGCTCTTGATTTACATCCTCATGGTGGGGAAATCAGTTGCATGCTATTTTTCTCCTCTTGGTTATCATACCTCTGAAGGTGGTGGTTGCCTGTTACCTGTGGATGTGAATGGGTGCTCTCACAAGGGGAAAAATAAGCTGCTTGGACTCTCCAGCTTGGCCCAGAAAGCAGGAGGGAGGTGATGGAGAATTTAGCTGAGCTTTCCACTACAGATGGAACAAAAGAACTGAAGGAATTGCATTTTAAATGGGCAGAGTCATGCTGAAAATGACTACAGATAGGCAAAAGAAGTCATTGCTCCCCCCTCCTGAAAGTTTTGAAAGTTAAGGCAAAGACAAGGGACAGATCATACCAGTGTGACACTGGATGTAGTGTTCAGTTCAAAATTCAGCTTTCCAGTGTAGTACTGGGGAAAGTCCTTGAATTTGCTGGGCTTGGGTTCATCCCATCTAACTGTAAGCACTTTGCTTAAAGTGCTCTCTTGCTCCAGATTCCCACTAGAGCTAGTGGAGAATGGGGGGGTTCACGAGAGCTGGTTCGGTATTTCCGATTTCCAGCTATTTCTTCCACAGTGAATTTTGGGAAAGTCCAAGTCTGAAGGCCAGCCCATGGTGTAAGAAGGGAGGGAGCAAGCCTTAAGGTACAGAGGCCTTACTGAAGCGATCTAAGGTCTGCTGAGGCTGACTGAAGGGCAAAGAGCTGAGGGACGGGGTGGCCTCTGCTCCCCCATGCAGCCCTGAAGGATCCTCCTGATGCCTAAAATAGCCACAAAAGGTTGTTTTTTTTTTTTTTCTGCTGCATAAGCTGCCTGACCTCATGAGCTGCACAGTCCCATTGGTGCTAGCATTGGGGTGCGGGGGAATGGGATGTGGCATGGACTTTGGAGCCAGGTGTGAAAACACGCTGCCGGATTAGGTCTGTTTAGGCAGGGCAAACTAGCCCAAACACACTGCCTTAATGAGGAAACGCTGGCTGAAGGTGGCCGTCCCACGGCATTGGCCAGGAGACCATGGGCCTGCCTGCATTGCTGGTATAGACAGGCATCGTCCATCAGCAAGATACTTTGATTTCACTTCTCACCCTTGAGAAAGGCTCTTCTTTCACAGGGTGAGGTGGGTGGGAGAGTTTGTTTTTTCTCAAAACATTAGCAGAGAAGTAAAAGGTTGACCACACTGATCTTTAAGGTACAAATATAGCATTTCTCAGGCACCAAAAACCCACTAAAACCATGTGGCACTACCCTTTCCTACTCAAATTAAAAATCCCTCAAACCTTTCTGTGTAGTGGTGGGACTCTGCCAGCTCCACAGCAGATTAAAAAATCCCTCAGCTTGCTGTCAAACCTCCTTCCAACCCTGCTGCTCTTCATGAACACCTTGAATTTTGACCTTCAGCAGGCAAGACATGCTTCAGATGGGCTTCAGCTCAGCTAACTTTTCATACATAATATGGAATGTAACTATGTGCAAATCTGCCTGGGCTCACCTTATAGTCAGCTGGGAGAAACAGGCATGGAAAGGGCAAAATACACCTCGGTGTAACACTGGCAGCTAAAACAGGTGAGGAGAACCCCATCACTGAGGGTACTCATCCTTTTTTTCCACTGGGGCAGCCCAGGCTGATGGTGGCCCTTTATACTGCAGGCATCTCAGCTTTGGGGTCATCGCTCTTTGCCCTCTGTGTGCGTGCCCAGTGAATGTTAAGGGTGGTACCAGTGGTGTCATCCCCTTTGGAGCTTTGGCCCCCAGGTAGCCAAGGAAGGTGCACGTCTGCTGGGTTCAGCTTCACGGTGCCCGTGCTCAAGCATGAACGCTGAATACCAGGAGGACAGCCCAAGCAGGAAGTGGTGAAGGAAGGCTGGTGTCCAGCAAACCATATCTGGCCAAAATAAGGAACGCTCATCTATGTTTTTGCTCACTGAGCAAACCAAACTCTTGTTTTGAGTCTGTGGGATATTTTTCCTTTTTGCTATTTTTATTAATGTGTGTACAACCAAAAATTGAGGAGGAAGTACCAAAATACTTTGAAGCAAACCAGTCTCAGTGTTTCCAGCTCAGTAGGAAGTACTGAAAAAGTTTATTTTTGTTAGATGCTGAGCACTGTCTGGATGCTCGTTGTCCTTAACAGGGTCCATTGCTAGCAAGAACAGGGCATTTGTGGTAATTTAAATAAGATGAGCTGGCACATGTGAATGCCCTGGTTTCAGCTTTCTGCAGAACCTGAATCCATCAGGGATTCTCCACAGTGAGGACCAGTAATTTTCTGCTGTGCACAGAGAAAAGGCAAAGTGTGGGCTCTCTCACTGGGGCTGCCTTTACAGTCAGTGGAAGAAGATACAGACTTATAGGTAGATGTTGTGCAAGTTATTTCTTTCCCTCTAACATCTTCTCTCATTCCCTCAACTAGGCCTGCCGGACCTTTATCTCATCTTAAGCATAACAGGAGGCACAATCTTCTTTGTCATCTTCATTATTTTGCTTATTTATTGTATCAGGAAGAAGAAAGCAGAAAGGCTTGAAGATAATGGTAAGTGTTTAAGGGGCTTTATGTTGCTATCCAGCCACCTAAAATCTTAGAGCTTCCTACTGACAGCACCCCTGTGGGCAGGAGCATGCTCTCTGCCTCAGCATAAGCAAGAACCCAGTTTTGGCATACGGTGAATCTCGGCAGATCGGCTGGCATTGCCAGTCTTGGTTTCTGATATATGCTTTGAACAAAAGACTTCTTGTTCTCTCACCTCTGTCCCTGGAAAGGTGATGGAACAACTCATTCTGAGTGTCCTCTCCAAGCAAGTGGATGAAAAAAAGATCATCAGGAGTACCCAGCACGGATTCACCAAGGGGAAATCATGCCTGACCAATCTGATAGCCTTCTATGATGGCATGACCGGCTGGGTAGATGAGGGGAGAGCGGTGGATGTTGTCTACCTTGACTTCAGCAAAGCTTTCAACACTGTTTCCCATAACACCCTCATAGGGAAGCTCAGGAAGTATGGGTTGGATGAGTGGACAGTGAGGTGGATTGGGAACTGGCTGAA